AAACCTTCTTTGTGAACCACACGTGTCACGAGAGTTTCTCTGTCGAACGGGGCAAACCTTACAAACCCAGGCTGTGCCCGAAGATATTTTTATTGATCTCAGCACAGGAAGCATTTTATAGAAGAGCAACAGCAGAGAGAAATGGTTAACATATCAAGATTTATTAATACAGGATGAAGCAGAAATTAAGATGAAGTCAAGAGAACAATGGACTGCAGAAGGATATAGTTTTCAGTGGTGTTCATGTGTACAATTAAAAGTTCAATATGGATAAAAAGACAGAACTGAAAAATATAAAATGGAATTTGAAATGGAATTATGTACCAATGATGAACATGTAATAGCAAAAATGTATAAACTTTGTTAAGATTTGAAGCAGAAGAACAGGTTAAAGATTGCATGAGAAAATGGACTGCTGATTTGGATATAATATAGAGATTGATTCTTGGGAAAGAATGTGGTTAACTGGTATTAAATTCACACAGTGTTGTAATTTAAGAGAAAATTTCTATAAAATGATATACCATTGGTATATGACACCAGGGAAATTATCAAAAATGTATAAAGGTATTTCAAACCAGTGCTGGAAATGTGAAAAGCATGAGGGAACATTTTATCATGCATAGTGGACTTGTGAGAAAGCTAAGAAATTCTGGGTACAAATTATAATGATACAAAGGATTTTAAGGATTAAACTTGCTATGAAACCAGAACTCTTCTTATTGGGACTTATGGACAATGAATTAAAAAAGATGCATGGTAAATTGATACTGTATAGGGTAACTGCAGCAAGACTATTATATGCACAACAATGGAAGAATAATGAATTTCCCACAGTGGAGGAATGGATTGTGAAAATGTCAGAATTTGTAGAAAAGGCGAACTGACCTGTTTGGTCAGAGAACAAACAACAAAATTTTTTTTGAAAGATTGAAAACCTTATATGGCCTTTTCGCCAAAAGAAGAAAAAAATGAACTGATGACTAAACGAAGGGGTGAAAGGACTTAAAATACTTGAAATACTTAAGATGGAGGAGGGACAATAAGAACATAATTATCTGTTGAAAAGAAAGTCATAAATGTATTTTTTTTAAAAAAGGGTAATTTCTCTTTCTTACTTCCCACAATTCCCTAGCAGCTGTTGACATTTTAAAAAATGTACATGTTTTGCAATAAGTTACATTTACATTGGGTCTCTGTTAATTAAGCGATCATTTATAATTCTAGGCAATTAAGCAATCATTTAAAAGTCTTTTAACACGTGAGTTCCAAAACTAACGTAGCAAATTCATCTCAACAAAAATCTCTTTTCTGATATTTACGTGTGAGCTAGACAGAGAGTAGGATAATCTAAAGAACCACTTAAAGCCAGACAAGATCAGACACCAAATGCTGCTCCTAGGTGAGTTGATTTGAGATGAATGGACTGCATGCATATAAGCTCATTATTCACCATAAAATTGGCATGACATTTCTCTGAAAGTCAACTGTTCCATCTCAGAAGGACAACATGACAACAAATAGCCTTGATCAGATAGAACAGAAATAAGATGATAAATAGGTCTGTACGGCAAGCGCTCAGATACAGAAGTTCTAAGTTTTATATTTCAATATAAAATAAGATCCTTTTGCCATATTTCCTTGTTCAACTTATTCAGCTCTAAGATACACAAATAATTAAAATAAAGTTAAATAAAAATTAAATCACAGGAGACTAGACTACTTGTCTAAAGTTGCATATCCCTCTTAAAGCTACTCCTGGCTTTGGGAAATGACAACTAGGAAGAAGCTTCAGGGCAGTTTTGAAGCAAACCATATCATCTTTGTTCTTTGATGAGAAGAATCATGTTGCTTCTGCAGCACAAAACTCTTAGTTGGAGCAAATTTAGATTTCCTTGCCCAAACCTACAGAACAACCCATATCTTCTCCTCAGTTTCAGGATAAAGAGAAGGGTTGATGCACTTTTCATTCCCCTCAAAATGGAAAAAAAACACTGAGTAACAAATAGATTTGAGATCACATACAAACATTTATGGGTCACTGCCAATGATTTTACCATTTTTAAAAAGTTTTGTAAACTACTCTGAGGATATTATTGAAGAGTACGGAATAAATATATTAGATGAACAAATGTTGTTCAGCTCCCATTTTTCATTTCTTTAGGCAGGACAACACGCTTAGCTTTAATGCGTCATATCTCCTAGAAATACTCTGGGGACAAAATCTAAAATACTGGATCATATTGCTTCTACTTTATGCTTTTAAATCTCATGCCTTTTTTAATTAGGGCACAAAAGATTCTCTGCAAGTTTATTCTGACACTTTGATTAAGTTTTAATCCATTTTTACACTGCTGCCTGTATCAAGAAAAAGGAAACCATATATAGCAAATTATTAAAATACAAGCACACTGCAGAATATAACCTGAAAAGAGAAGCACACAGAAGCATAACAATTACTCTCCAAGTATAGCAACCTACGTTTGAACTAGTGGATACTTACATATACCAACAATAATTGAGAAGGCATGCTCCAGTCTCAGGCAAAAGAGAAGTCTGTAGAAGTTGAAAGACATCAAGGAGAAACACAGGATGACACTAATCCATTCCTGTAGCCTTTTCCCTGTTAAACAAAAAATGGCAATTTTAAGCATGGTACTTTTTGCTCTGCTCATACTAAAATACACGCATACTAACCAACAGTTAATATGAAAGTCTCGAAGGGGTAGATACACCATTTCTCTTGCTGGCCTAAAGCATTTCCTACTGATTGCTTAAATAAGGGAAGGGCCATCGTTCAGTGCATTTCGTTTTCTGAGGATGGGGATAAGTCTTAGGGTGGAGCTTAGATGGGATTTCTCTGCTTTTTAACGATGTTATGCTTACTTTAGGACTGTTACAGAGTTGTCACATGTTTCTCATTTCAAAATGGCAGGAACTTTGCTGTCCGTTTTCAGCAATCACGGTCAGAAGGGATTCCAATGGTTCCAAAAGGGGGTGTGGAACTTGCATGAGGCCCTGAGGCTACCAACCCTTGAGTTATAATAAACACTCCTCCTCTCCAAGTAGAGATGGAGTGGGACTACACCCTAACTTCTGCTAGGAGGAGCTGGCAGGCTCCTTTTTCATGTAGGTGTCTGCCACTAGGAGCTCTAGATCAAGCAGATAAATTTGTCCTTTTAGTATTTTATTTCTGAAAAAGCCCATTTTGGATTTATATGAGTATTTTATCGCTTCCATATTTGAAATACTGTACTGGCACATTATCTTTTCCTTGAATAATTCAAAAAGACCTGTTTTTCTCAGTTGGGCTAATGCAATGGAGGAATGAGCTCATCACTTGCATCAGTTCTGCGTGATCCAAATATTCTATCAAGCACTCGCATAATGCTAAACTCTTCCTGCATGGGGCAAGGAAATTATAAAAAGGCAACATCAGCTCCAGCAAGGGTAAATGTTAACCTTATCCCAGGGAGAGGTACACATAGTTCCCCTGCCTACATACTGCAGTATGCTGACTTCTGTGTCTCAAATGAATAAAAGAAGTTCAAATGAAGTGAGGAGAACGGAAGCAGTTTGTGGAACCCACACAGCTGTCTTACGTAGAACAAAACAGAATATTAGATTGACGAGATGTTTTTCAAAAAGCATTTGTCAAAATATATTATTATTTTCATTCGGTCTTTATGACACCAAAGTTAATTAATTAAGACCCACATTCTGCAGAGGAGCAATTGCACCCTAAACAGAACAGCTAAATGTTAAAGTCCACAAGGAACAATTAAGATGTGCAAAACATCAGGGCACTTACATTTTACCTCCCAAAGGAAACTATGCTCAACCTCCTTGTGACAGCAACCCTGCCATTTCAAGTCAAACACTAGTTCTGTACATATTAAGCAAATATTTGTTTTACTATGATTTACTGAATAAATCAACTGGGCTTGCTAACACGCTAAGTCATAAATCAGGATTTAAAATGCACAACGGATATATTCATACAGTGTACTAAACCAGAATCAAATGAACCACATTTATGGCTTAATGCGACCCCAAAGTTTCAGAATTGTTTATACGTAAGAATGAGGGAAGAATGACGTTAACTGAAAGGTGCCTAGATTAGGGTACATAACAGCTAAGCTATAACATGATTTGATTTTGTGTTAGTAAATTGTGAAAACTCAGCCACTGCTGTGTAACCCACTGTTTATGGCTTAGCACACTTTCTATACTGTACACCAGCAGTTGTGAACATGGCTAACCAAACTGTGACTTACTGTGTTGTTTGAATTTAGTTGGTGGGTGCTTATAGTATTCAAAGGACCCCACGGTTAAAAAATGACCTTGCAAAAATTATTTTGGTCTACCAAACTAAGCAAAACCTATCAGAAATGTGATAAATGTCCTATTTCTAATTGCCACACTTTCAAGTGTCTGGCAAACCACAGCTCAGGACTACATTGCTGCATTTTTTTTGGTGGTTCAGATACCATACAGGCCAACACATTTTAGGTATCCCGTAGCTGGAGGATTCCCTGAAAAAATACCAGGTCAAGCAAGAAGACTTGTACTAGCTTTCTTCTGTAAATAAAGAAATGCAAAGTATTAAAGCTTCTGGTTTAAGGATTTAAGCTTTTCTCACAAACAACTCCAACACTTAATTCATATATAAAGTATTCAAGTAGGTGCATTTAAGCACCAGCTATTGGGGTACCTGGATATGATCTGCTGTCAGTTGTTCGCTGCTTTGGCCACCAGATCAAAGAGGTCACTTGGAGAATCAATAAGCAAGCCCTAAGTCCTCAATCACAGATGAAATGAACATTCTGACTTAATGACCATCCAGGACTTTTTGCTAGTTCTCTATAACTACAAAATACTGCAATCCCCTTGCCTCGAAGGACTTAGCTCACTGGCAGTACATCAAATACATTCACAATTACCTTGTGATGAAAGACAGACATTTTTTTTTTCATTAACACAATACGAAAAATTATTATAGTTGCTATTCCAACAGCATCAACGTCAAAGGATCTGTCAAGTCCCTACACAAAAGATATTTCTGAACATGTATCTAAAACTTTTTTTCATCCTGACAAATTAAAGATCGAGATCACTTTTTTTCATTCCCTCAATTCAAGTGACATAGAGCCACATGGAACCCAATTAGAATAACACATTCGGGACTTCTGAGTGGGGAAATGGCGAACTAGATGTCTCCAAAAGAGCAGAGGTGATGCCAGACTGACAGACTGGTGATGAGCCTGGTCTAATGGAACCTCTCCGGATAAAGGAGAGAACAAGAGATCACCCACTTGTGCTCCGGACAGCAGCTCCTTGTGAGAGGACTGCAAGACAGCGATTTCCCCCAGGTTTGAGTGTCAGAAGACAAGGGAAACCATCAAGCTCTCAACCATGGTGAAGTCTTTTAAGGACATTAGATGTGATGGAAGGCATGAGCGGGGAGGATTCTGGAATGGAGCTTCAGAGTTACAGGGAGGGGGGAGAGACATTCCAAGGAAAGCATCTCCCCAGCTGGACTGTGTGAAAGTCAAGAGAAAGAGGCTGGCCCCTCCTAAGAGCATAATGGTTATAGTTGCTATCACTGGGGGATTAGAGTTAGTCTGGCGACATTCTGTCTCTTAGGTGCAAGCTAATAAAGAAGCTGAGCTGATTTCTGGACTGTCTCGTGTGATTCTTGGGTTGAGCTTGTCACTAGATTTGTTAAGCCTTACATTCTAAACATCTTTGAAATGTAATTACTTTAAAGTTGAAAGATCTTCAAAGCAACAAATTTGAAAAACCACCTGGTGAGTTAATTGAAATTGAAGTAAACAACAAAAAGTTTAATAAGAACTTAATCTAAAAAAGTTACAAATGAATTAAAGGACCAGACAATTTTGAAATATTAGGACTTTTGCTAAAAGATTTAGGAAATAATAAAATAAACAAAACTGTTTTTGTAAGAATATAAATTGTTTAGTCCATTGGAAAATAAATAATAGAAATTTGAGACTTTGGAATTTTAGAAATAAAACACTAGAAGAGTTGAAAGATTTCAGGTAGGAGAAAGAAGGAAGGAAATAAAAAAAGAAAAGCCTGTCTTTCATGGAACTTATACAATGACAGACAATGCTATGACATTTGAGACATTTCAGGAGATTTTCGAAGAATGGTGTCAGAAACTAGGAGCTACAGTGTCAGCAAAAATGTTTGCTTATATGGATGTATTATTTTCAAAAGATTTTAAAGAAGTAATGAAAGATGTGAAAGAGAGTATTTTGGAAGACCGACAGGATGAAGGGGATAAACAAATATTACCTGATGCAGAAATACTGGAAATCAAAGGAATTCTGGATTATAAGACAGAGATGACAGTCAAAATGGAAATACAAATGATAAACCAAGATAATGACCTAGATAATGACTTTTTACTGGATTTAACAAATGAAGGTTGTTAAAAATTTGATGAAACCTTTGAGATCGGAGAAAGAAAAACTGAAGGGAGATCAAATCCTACAACAACATCTGAACAAGTAAAAGGCTAAGACTGTTAGAAGCAAAAGGAAGGAATAGAAAGTCAATTTGTTTGATCAGGGTTAAAATAAGACATATCTTTATAAAATTCTGGAAACCCTTTACAGACTTTTTGCCGACATCTGGATAAAAATGTGAATGATTCATAGATTTGCAAATGGATAAGGGCTGGGTTATGGGAAGAAGTGATCCATGTATGTAACCTTTAAGGGGGTGGAGAAATATTAAGTTTTGTTTGTACTTGTGATGAAGATCGGAAGTCACTTCTTTAAATATTGCTTTTTTTCTTTTTCCTTTTTTCCCTCTTTATCTTTTCCTTTTTTCTTTCACTTTTTACTTCTTTTTCTTCTTTTCTCTCTTTCTGATTTCAGTTTGTATTATCTTTTATTATTGTTAAAATCCTTAATAAAATTATTTTAAAAAATAATGCATTCAGGAGAGGTAAAAATCTACTTAGGATATAATGTCAGTGTGCCAAGTATTTTTTTCATCCAACAATCGGCCAATACATTAAGCAAGGTTGAGAAATACAGGTTGAAAAGTCAATAGACACAAATAACATAATTCTGATAGCAGAGAAGGGGATAAACAGCAGTTAGAAAATCTGCTTAACATATCAATTGTAGGTGCAGCAGAAGTCAAAGAAAGTCCTGCAGAAATTGCAAATTAAATATTGGGGTAATCAGAAATTCAAAACTAAACTGCCAACATATCATAATGCCTTTACATTATCTGTGTTGTGACCACACTTTGAAAGTTGTATGGATCTTCTAAAGGGATCCTGTTAAGATTAAAAAAACAGTCCAGAAGGCAGCAGGTACATTGATCAAGGGGCTACAGCAGTGTTTCTTAACCTTAATAATTTTAAGATGTGTGGCCTTCAACTCCCAGAATTCCCCAGCCAACTGGAGAAGGCTGGTCCAGAATAAGTTTCCTATGTGGAAAGGTTACATTTTGGATTCAGATGTAAAAAAAATGCTAATAAATGGGACATGACAGAGGCATAGAGAATTATATATGGTATGGGGCAAGTAAGTCAATAGTTCTCTTTCATAATGTTAGAACTTGGGAACAGCCAATGAAGTTAATGGTACTTTAGAACTATTAAAATGAAATATATTTCATCTCCCAAAATGTTCTACTGCCAGTGACTCCTTCACACATCTGTCTCTTGATCTGCAAGAAGGGGGCCGAGCAATAACCGGAGGACAGATTTTCATATCGGGGCTACATGTGATCATTGCTATTTTAAGCCTTTTATACCTTAATTAAGGAAATAAAAACTCTGTATATAAAAAGCAGAAACATTCCAATGGATGTTTTGACCTTGAACAAGGCAGTTCAGTGCACCTTCAATTAACTGTAAAATATTATGTTATCTCTTTTATCAAAGCTGTTTATGGAGCAGTCAAAATCTCCAGAAATACCACTGCAGCTTTTCAACCTGGCATGTTCTATATCTATTAGACTACCACTCCTATGATCTTCAGCTGCTGGGACAATGCTAGACTACTGGATTTGAATTTCAAACTTTTAAGAATCTCAAATCAACATGAAAGGCTAAGTTAAGGGTTAAGAATGCCTTGCACATGTGATTCTGCTCCAAACATATTTATTCCAAAGCAAACTTCATGACTAGAAAGGAAAACCCTGCCACATTTTACAAGTAACCATGTTGCCAATACATCAAAACAGCTTCTATGCTATTTCTGAATCAAATAAACTGTAAATCGATAAAAGTTGTCTTAAATACTGAAATTAAGTTCAAAATTGAAATCTTGCTTCCAAGACACTGAACATATACCAGTTAAGACAACCAACTGATAAACTCAATTAAATCAAGCAATTCAGCTGACATTTTACATGCATAAGCCTCATTCATTGGAGCCTAGGATGGGTGGGGTGTTACCTTTCAAAGGAGCAAGAAAAGTGACTTAAAAATCACACACACATCTGAAACAGTAGTTACAACAGGAAACACGTGCTATTTCCTTAATGAAGGAGAGAAGCAACATTTTTATAGTGTTAGAAATCAGATCAAGTGTCAAATAAAAAGACTTAAGGGCCAGATTTTGCAACCCATATTACTTGTAGTACTACAAGATTCATAATCCTTGCTTGATTCCAATCCCATCCACCAACCCGATCTTTGTTTTTAGCTTTCTATTTTTAAACTCTGTAGGGAACAGAAAAGTCTATCTCTGAAGTTTTCCAGATTTCTATCTTACATGCCTGCCAAACCTTAATTATCTTAAAATGTTTATTCAAGCCCTCGAAAGGATTAAAGAAAGGAAGAAATCAACCTTTAAATGGATCCAGGGCAGGATTTTGAGCATGCATATCAATTATTATTATTAAATTTATTTATTTTAATTTCTATAGCTGCCCATCTCAACCAAGTGACCCTGGTCAGTGAACAATCATAAAAACAATTAAAACAAGCACAATACAGCACAAAATAAATATATATGGCAGCCGAAAAAAATTAACCCATAATTATCAGTATAGCCAAGAAACAGGGCTCTTAGGAACCCAAGCACATAACCAGGTCTTTAGGGCCTTACGAAAGGCCAACAGGGCCAGGGTCATCCTAATCTCTAAAGGGAGAATGTTCCAGAGGGCAGGGGCTATGGCAGAGAAGGCACCCCTCCTAGTCCCTGCCAGCCGATGTTCCTTGGTGGACGGAACCCAGAGCATTCCCATCCTGCCAGACTGGATTAGCCACTACTGTCCCACTATATATTATACCAGTTGCTGGTAGCTGCCAAAAAGGTTAAGGCAATGTTTCTCAACCTCAGCAACTTTAAGATGTGTGGGCTTCAATTTCCCAGCATGGCTGGCTGGAGAATTCTGGGAGTTGAAG